GGTGACACAATGCTTGGCAATGTCTGTTCGCTCACAGAGCAGCAGGCGTAAAACACCGGGAGACGGCGTGAGCAAAGAGCTTCAAGCCCCTTCCCAGCCAGCACTCTGCCCAAAAACGCTCTCAAGGGCGGCTTTGCTCAGAGCCCCATTCCTCCCAGTGCCGGTTCTGGCTGCCTCCTCAGCTTCCTGCAGCTTCTCCCACAGACACCCCCTCCAGGGAACAATAACCAGCCGCCAAACCCCCTCCGCTCAGGTGTGTTTTAGCTGCCTGGTTCCATCACGGAGCTTAATTATTTCTGACCTTTCTCAGTAATGAGGGCAGCTGTTAAACTTAATGGAAACCCGGTGTAACGCAATTCAGATCACCATCTACGTACAGCGCTTATTTCCACGGAGCCGGGTGTCCGAAGAGACACGCTGCCGGCCTTCCCCTGGGCACACGCGGCAGCAACGCCTCAGTCACCTTCCTTCTTCCCAAGGCTCCCTGCGGCAGGACCAGTTCCAGCCGTGCCGCTCAGGGCTGGACGTAACGCCAGGCGCTGCTGGGAACGTCCTCCGCGCTCCCGAGCCGGCCTTCCGCCGAGACAGCCGAGTGCGGCGCGTCTCGGGCACTGGGCTGTGCAGAGAGGGCAGGTCCTTACCGCCAGGCTCAGCAGGGGGGAAGCAGCTTGCCCATGAGCCCCGCCAAGCTAGGAACAGAACCCAGGCGTCCGAGGCCCTACCCCTCCTGCCTCACTCCTTAGAGAAGCACTTTGTGCAGGTCCAGCTTGTAAGTCCCTCCGGCCCCGACCCCAAGCCCTCCTACGCCCCGGGCTGCCGTTCCCACCCGCGCAGAGGGGACGCCGCACGCCAGTCGTGTGTAACGAGCAAGAGATGAGAACACAGGAAGTAGCCACTTGGGTCTGCCCCCAATCCCCACGTGCCAGGCCTGGCAGCTCCCGCAGAGACCCCCGTGAGTGCCACTAGGCCGGGCGCACCGACAAGCGAACTGGGCCCTGCCCTGCCCCACACACTGGGCACCATCTGCGGGAAGCCACCGCCCAGGGCAATGGAGGAGCCACCCAGGTGTCCCTGTCCCGGAGTCCCCGGGCGATGCTCTGGAACTGCTCCCCACAAAGCCAGTCAGGACTTTGGGGAGCCTCCTCTCCCTTGGAGCAGACTGTCTTCAGGGCAAGAAGCTCACACGGCTTCACCTCCTGGGTCTCTCCTGGGAGCATTCAGCATATGCCGCTCCGTGCGCTTCCCACAGCGAGTCCGCCCCGGCGGGGTCCTGGGGAAGCCAGAGGGTCCTGCACCCCCACTTCGCAGTCAGACGTGACTCTCAGCCAGCCGGGGAAACAGAGGTTTATTAGATGACAGGAACACGGTCTAAAACAGAGCTTGTAGGTACAGTGAATGGGACCCCTCAGCCGGGTCCATTCTGGGGTTCAGAGAGCCAGACACCCACGTCTGCCCTCACTCCTAGTCCCCAGGTAGCTCCAACTCTGAAACCCCCTCCAGCCCCTCCTTCTCCCAGCTTTGTCTCTTTCCTGGGCCAGGAGGTCACCTGATCTCTTTGTTCACCTTTAGCTATTTCCTTGCAGGGGGGCGAAGGGGCCCTGGCCATTTGTTGCCAGGGAGACAGAGTGTCAGTGATTTATGCGCACTGGCCTTTCCCCACCACCTAGAGACTTAAGAAATGCATAGGGGAAACTGAGGCACCCACACAGTATTCAGAGGAAACATTAAGAACAGTCCCACTTCGTCACATCTCTCCCCCCTTCGAGACTGAACTGAGCGAGGTCACTTTAGCCAGTGACTTGGGGAAGTTCGAACCCACCAATGTTCCCATGGATGCCCCATCATCTGTCCCATTCCTCGGTGGGAGTTACACCAGGACTTTCCAGATTGACATCCTCCCGTGGGTCTGTTGTGGTTGATGGCGCTTGCTGGCTGCATGTGGGAAGGTTTATGCGGCCTGTACCCTTTTGCCACCCCAATACCCCTGGGGTCTAAACTGGGATTGGGTCTTTTCCCAGCGCTCCAGTCTGGAGGGCTGCAATTCGGGCTCTCGGTTAAGAGCCCCCATCTGGACCTTTGCCACCCTCTGACCAGGTGTCTCTGTCCCCAGCAGCTCGGCCTCAGCCCCTTGCATGTAACACTGCCCAAAACTATACAGCTGCAGCTTTCTAAGGGCCTGCACCATGGTCAGGCATTTCCTCTCTGAGGCCGCATAGTTCTGCTCCCAGGGCAGCCGTTTCTTGCTCAGGTACCCGGTGGGGTGTCTCCCCCCCGCAGCATCGGCTTGCATCAGCACCGTGCCCAGCCCTGCGTCTGAGGCGTCGGTGAACACTGCAAAAGGCTTGGCAAAGTCTGGGTTTACCAGATATACCGGGCCCTGGATTAGAGCCTCCTTCAGTCTACAGAGAGCCCTCTGGCCCTGCTCGGTCCAGACCACCTCGTCTGGCTTACCCCTCTCACATAGCTCAGGGATGGGGCAGCTAGGGGGCTAACGTAGGGTACCAACCTCTGGTAGCACCCTGCCATCCTGATAAAAGCCTGGACTTGTTTCTTGGTCTGGGGAATGGGCCAATCTCTGATCATCTCCACCTTGCACTTCTCGGCTTTTACCATCAGTCCTGCCTCCTTGACGTACGTACGCCAGGGCCAAGTTCTCCATCCCCCTCAGCTTGTCTAGAATCTCCCCAGGCCTAGGTGTGGGGCAGGCATTGGACACGGTGATGGCTTTAAGCTTCCGATGGTCCCCACGGAACCAGATCATCCCGTCTCCCTTGGGGACCAGCCCCACGGGTGAGGCCCATGGGCTGTTGAATGGCTGGATCACATCTAAAGCCAGCATGTCCTTGACCTCTCTCCCCAGGTTCTGGGCTGCTTTCCCAGTGACTCTGAACGGGGAACACCTGATGGGGAGATTGGCTCCCACCTCAGGGAAGAGATCCACCAGGGGGTCTTCCCCCTTCTCCTCCCAATCCTCCCCTTCTGGGTCCAGGGGTCCCCTCACTCTCCTCCCATCCAGCAGCTTGAATGGGAAGAACCCTGTGGATTCCTGGGGCACCACCAGCTGCCTCCCGATTCCCCCCAGTTCTCCTTCCCCTTGGGGAGCCCATTCCCGGTACAGCAATCCCTTCTCCCACAGGACTCTGTCCCTGCAGCCTTCCCCAAGGGGGTTTGCAGCGCTGTGGCCAGCAAGTTCCCTCAGCTTCTCCAAGGAGGGATCCCTCTGCAGCTCGGTCGGGAATTCAGCTGCTGGGGAAGGGAGTGGGACCTGCTCCCTCTCGCTGGCTGGGCCTGGGGTCACAGCCCCTCTGAGCCCTGTCCCTGGTAGCTCCCTCCCTGCTGTGTAATCACTTCCCAGCAGCACGTCTGGACCAGGCAAACCTGGTTGGCAGCCGACCTGCCCTGCCTGTGTGTCCCCCCACTCAGCTGGGGTCTCAGCTCCCACCGTGCCCAGCACTGTCCTTGTTGTCCCAGTGGGGGCAGGCAGCGAGCTCTCTGCTCTGGTCACAGCATCAGAGCCAGCGTGAGCCCCCTCTCCGGTGTGCATGGGGGCGGGGAGCATCTCTCCCTCCCACTCAGCCCCAGGGGTCTGGTTACAGGTAGGCAGGTATCCTGAGTCCAGCAGCCCCTCCCTCCTGCCAGCCAGGTCATTTGCATTGTCACTGACCATTTCCCTCTTAGCCAATTGGTTAGCGGGATTCAAATTAAAATCCTCGGCCGTTACAGGGGCAGGGGCCTGGATCCTGTCCCAAAGAGACACAGTCACCCCCCAACAGGACCTCACAGCCAATATCCTGGTTTCAGAGTAGCAGCCATGTTAGTCTGTATCCGCAAAAAGAAGAACAGGAGGACTTGTGGCACCTTAGAGACTAACAAATTTATTAGAGCATAAGCTT